GTGCAAAGGAGGCGTTGATCCTGACCGCTAAGCGCAGTGTAGCGCGCAGTTCCGCAGCAAGGCGCACGCGATCGCGGGAACGTGCTACAAAAGTATGAGGCGCTGGGAGCTATGCATCCATGCGCCAAATCCATAGGTTGGCGCACGGATGCATGGCTCCCAGCAAACAGTCACGATAAATTTTTGTAGACTAGTGGCGCCATCTATCGGACGGCATATGTAGGAGACGAGATGTGGGGGGGGCAGTCAACCCCGGGCGGTCCTTATATACGTCGACTGCCGTCGTCTTGTCAGGCGCGCAGTGAATCTCGTGTCGAAACCTGTATGTGAATCGTATAGAATGGCTTCGATGCGTATAGACTATGACACGTAATTTCCCCAGCTACAGAGCACGTGTCCGTGATTGGCCGATTGCACTATGTTTCAAACCGGTCGTACATCGTAAGTACGTTGCTACGAGCCATAGCCATAGTACGTCCTGGCCGTGTTTAGAGTACGGGTAAAAATAATCACAGGCAATTTGCCCAGCAACAGAGCTGGCCTATGCTAGAAGCGCGCGCGCGGTGATTGGCAGTTGCCGTGGGCGTGTCTCGACGGAAAACGTTTAAACTCCGTTTTTGACGGCTATAGGACGCGCGCACATTACCCAAACATTTCTCAGGGCCATTTCGAGCAAAACCCCAGCTACGTGGGTAGTCAAAACCCTCGTGCTATGAACAGAACTCTGGCTTTTGCTTTTATAGCCCGTTTCGCACATACTAAAGACCCGGCAAAGTATTGTTGACATAGTGCAGGGTTATTTCTATGTCGCGCGTTTGGGGCTGCCTCTTGTCCAGAGGAGAGACCAGATACTAGAGAGGCGATGCGCAAAGGAGGCGATGCACAAAGGAGGCGTTGATCCTGACCGCCGAGCGCGGTGTAGCGCGCAGTTCCGCAGCAAGGCGCACGCGACCGCGGGAACGTGGTACGAAAGTATGAGGCGCTGGGAGCTATGCGTCCGTGCGCCAAATCCATAGGCCGGCGCACGGATGCATGGCTCCCAGCGAACAGTCACAATAAATTTACCATCCATAAATTTACTCCATTGCGCTAGCTGTTTGGCGTCAGTATGTATTCTGTCCTATGTACGTAGAGACTCTTCTTGTATTTCATACGCTCTCTTAATTTGTGTTAGTCTGGCAATCTGGTCTGGCTATGACAGTGTAAAGATTTTAACAATACAATGCTGGTAAGGCTGTCATCATTCCATAGTCCACCTACCTGCGTAGAGGAGACACACCGTTTCACTGCGTGAGATGTGAATTTTTAGATCATAATGTTTGTGGACTTGTCGACTTGCCCGTTACCATAGCAGCTGTTTTGTAATATAATTGTGTAATGAGTGGTACAGCTGAGGATACGGAGTTCATTTGTATAGATGCATGAGTAATATATAAATTTGCATTTAAATCATTATCAAATTTAATTCAATTGATCATATTTTAGAAATTCCAGAAGATATCAGCCATTATGCACATTAGATATGCTCCTACTGTTGATGTGTGTAAATGTTGTACACCATGTATCAAGTGGTGCTAAATAAACAAACTAAAGTAAAGTAAAGTAAACTATGTAACTGTAGTAACAGTCCATAAACATATATTTACACATTTTATATTATATATATTATATATATATATATATATATATATATATATATATATATATATTGCTTAGGTGATATGGGAAGATTAAATAAAGAATTTACATTATGATTATATTATATATATTCGTATTATTATTTTATCTTATTATATAATACTTATATATATTACTTATATATTATTATTACTTTAATATTATTAAATGATCCGGGGCATTTAGTTCGATGGTGGTAGGCTTATATCAGTTTGAATTCAGTAATAATTTTGTACAATGTTAATTGAATAGATTTAATTTCTTGGTAAATAAACATTGATAAATTTAATAACGTGTAATATTTACTTTCGTAATTGTCTGAAAAAAAGATGATACATTAATATTGTGTGGCTCGATCTTTGTTTCAAGTGATACCAGCATATATTGTTCTATCTCGGGCACTATATCCTATTAGTGCATGACGTGATAAATCGCTGCAATCTTATTGGATAACGCAGCAGGCACTATGAAGCAATAGTGCCCGCTTGAGCAGCACTATTGCTTGCGCGACGCATTGTTATTATAACGCATTTGGTTTACGTCACGAATCTCCTGCGTCTGGGCGCCACGCAAGAGTAATTTCGAACGGTGGTTGTGTTTGTGTCGAACGTTTTTGTTACATCGAATGCACGGCAAAATTAGGGAGTATAAGAAGGGTATATACGCATGAAAAGTAGATTGCATAGTCCATGTGATGCACTAAACAACTTAATGCCTGTTGTTGGGGCACTATGCTCTCAATATTAATAATTAATATATAATTATCGTTTTCAAACCTATCGAATGTCGTTAGAAATTTTTTTCAGATAGAGTCATGATCACACCAGAAATTTATAAGGGAGGTGATGTCTGTATGCGCTAGCGTGAGTGCACGCCGGCAACACGATATCATAAAACATAACGCGAATTAGGTAAACAAACCAAGTATAACATATATTCACTAAAATTAGGATTGCAAGCAAGCTCCCTAATCCAGCACAACGAAGATGTGTACGCACGCCCGCACGCACACACATACAGACGCACACCCACTCACACACACGCACAGTGACACACACACAAACACACACACACACACTCACACACACACACTCACATACACACACGCGCGCCACGCACACCACACATACACACATACGCGCGCGCACGCACACACACACACACGCACACACACACAAAACACACAAAACACACAACACACCCGCGCGCAGCACACACACACACACACACGCACACACACACAACACCACACACACACGCACACATTCTCACACACGCGGACACACACACACACACACATTTACTCACACACACACACCATGACACACACACACAACACACACACACACACACACACACACACATACGCTGCGCAGACACACATATAACACACACACACACACACACACACACACACACGCACACACACGCACACACACATACGCGCGCGCACACACACACGCAGCGCACCACACACAAACACACACACACACACACTCACTCTCTATCTCTCACACACACACACACACACACACACACACACAACACCACACACACACACCACACATGCACATGCATACACACTCGCTTTTAGTTTTCCACAAGTTAGCTCGTGAGAGAAACAATCAAAACGCATCCCGCGGATCCACGAGTCAGCTCGTGGATAGATTATTGGTTTTTGTTACTCTGATTTGCAACAGATGGCAGGCACTACCTACCTAGAAATTAAAACAGGGACAGTCTATATTACCCAGTCATACATGAACTAAAGAATACAATGCTCTACCGTTGATTCGGAGTGAAATTATGAGTTTTGAGACTCAAGGTATTCGTAAAACTAGAAGGCGTAGATCGATGCTATGTAGATCGGTTTGTTTACCGTTTACCTAACGGTATATATATATACTGTGTAGTATATAAAATTTCAGGAGTATTTTTGCATGTAGAAAAACAAAACAAGGTTCATACCCCACACATGTGTAAGGGTTGTCACATTCTTGTGTGCGCGTGCTTGCGTGCGTGCGTGCGTTGCGTCGCTGTGCGTGCGGTGCGTGTGGCGCACGTGCGTACATGGCGTGCGGTGTGTGCGTGTTTGCGTTCGTGTGCACGTAGGCCTACACGTACACGTGCGGGCCTGCGTGCGTGTGCCACCGTACACGTACAAGTGCGTGCGCACGTACACGTGCGTGCATGCGTGGTAGTGCGGCTGCGCTGTGTGCGTTCGTGCGCACGTACATGTGTGTGTATGCCGTGCGTGCGTGCGTGTGGACTTATACGTGTGTGCATGCGGGCTCGTCCGTGTGTGTGCACGTACACGTACGTGCGTGCGTGCGTGCGTTGTGTGCGCGGCGTGTGCAGGTACACGTCTGTACGCTTTCGTGTAACACGTACACGTGCGTGCGTGCGTGTGCGAGACACGTCACGTGCATGCGTTGCGTGTGTGCGCGCGTGTGCACGTACACGTGTGTGATGCGTGCGTGCGTGCGTACGCTGGCTCGATGTGTGTACAGGTCATGCCGTGCGTGCGCATGCGTGACTGCGTGTCGACGCCTAGGCACGGTCCGGTTGGTTCGGCGTGGTGGAGGGGCTTGGTTGATGCCGTGCCGTGCATGCGTTGTGACGTAAGTGTTGGTGCCCTCCGTTGCGTGTGCGTTTCTGCATGACTTGGTAGATACTGTACACGTGGCGCGCCGTGCGCGACCGCATAGCCACGACACATGAGGCAGGTGCGCTGCATGCGTGTCACGACTACGCGGTAGCGTGCGTAACGTAGTGCGTGCTGGCGTTGCGTGTTTACCTACACGTGCGTGCTGCCCAACCGTGCGTGGGTGCGGTCGCGTGTTTGCGATTCGTGATGCACGTACACGTAGCACGTACGTGGTGACTCTCGCACGCCCATGCCCTCGTGGTGACACGTGCCCAAATTGTGCGGCGTACGCCCGCTGCGTGACACGTGCAATGGTGCGTGCGTGACACGTATACGTGCGTGCATGGCGGTTATGTCGCTAACCTATCAACGCGACGTGTTGTGCGTGTGATGAACTTACGCGTGCGTTGCATCGGCTGCAGTGCGTGCGTCCGTGTGTGTGCACGTACACGTGCGTGCGTGCGTGTGTGCGCGCGTGTGCAGGTACACGTCTGTACGTTAGTGTGCACGTACACGTTGTTTCGGTTAAGACAAACACCCTATCACAAATCCCCTGTGTGAGTGCGCGCGTGTGCGTGCGTCCTTGCCGCATCTCGTCCACTACGTGAACGACGCAACGCGGCGCGAATTGCATGAGCAAACGTTTATTTGTAAAAATTCTATTTTAACACCGATAGTTTATACAGATATAATAATTTCTATTAAAATATTAACGTACTTGTTGCGTTATGTAGAATGCCGAGAGCATATATGCTGCAGTGATCATGAGGTAGTGAAGGCACAACTGGCTAGGCAAGTCCGTGCTTGCTGATGCATTAATCGCTATTTCGTGATGTTAAAGCACCTTTTGTGACTTGTAATAAATGCACGAGTCTATTTTTTAATGCCGACAGTTTATACAGATATACTAATTTCGTCTGCTACTCGAATCTGTGTTTCAGGTTGACTGGTTCGAAATGTTTCCTGCAGAGGGCGTCTGCGATGTCGCTCATCTCATCGTCAAAGTAATTCTTCCAGTCGCCAACTTTTCCTGTCGAAGAAATTTGTGAAAAAACACACACGCACACACGCACGCACGCACACACACACCGTTTCAAGGCATGTCTGAATTCCACGATGAACTTTTGCGTGTGCAGAAATAACGTTAGATACCTAAGTGATCGCTAGTTTATGCGTAGGTGTTAAGAGTGACGGTGAGGGTCAGGATGAGGGTTAGGGTTAGGGTTAGAATTAGGGTTAGGATTAGGATTAGGATTACGGCCCTATACCTTTGCGCATGATGGGTGCAGCGTTAGGGTCGCGCAGTCCATTCTTCGTGAGCGGTCCAGCGGTTCGTGAGCGGTTCGTGAAATTCCAGTTCGTGAGCGGGTTCGTGCGCATGCGCTCGAAGTTCGTCTCAGCGACAATGGCCGACACCTGATCGTCACTCAGCTGTTTACCTAGAAACTCAGCGATGCGACGCACGCCCCCTGCCAGGTCCTACGCGAACAAGATGTACCGAGTGAGGCAAGTGAATAACAGGAAGAGAGGAGGGTGCGATGAGGAGGATGAAAAAGAATAAGAGGAGAAAGAAGAGTAAGAGGAGAAAGAGTCCGGTCGAGGATGATGATGAGGAGGAGAAGGAGGAGAAGGAGAAGGAGGCAGATGGAGGTAGAAGAGAGGAAGAAGAGGAGGAGGAGACAGCCGTGGAGGAGGAGGAGAAAGAAGAGACAGACAGATACACAGACAGACAGAGTGACAGACAGAGAGATAGACAGCTAGATCGATATCAGGTGCTAAAGTATAATAATTCTGTAAAACTGCATATATAATATGATCAGGCAAGATCAAGGAAGAGTGAAATAAGTAGATGGTGGCAGATGAAATTGCAAGCTAAACACGTCGTCGCTACGGTTAAGGCCGCCGCACACCAGCCGATTTTTCACGCGATTTGATCGGCCCGATAGAAATCAGCCGATATCGGGTAGGTGTGCGCGTTCATTTGTAGACGATTTTATTTTTATCGGGTGATCGTTCCAAATCAAACATGTTTGATTTGGAACTGATGAGCCGATGAGCCGATGAGCCGATTTTACAAACGATGAAGCGATGAAGCGATGAAGCAATGAAGCGATGTAGGTGTGCGGCGGCCTTTAGAGATGGTTACTATGGTTACAGATCCAAACATTAACCTCCACCAGGTCTTCGTAGAGCAGGAATAGAACATGGCCGCTGTCTCTCTGCTCCCAGTATTCCAGATTGTGCTCAAAATAGTTGCCAAATATCACTGAAAGAGAAAATGGTTTTTTAAATTCTAAGCAGTTGACACGGAATAAATTACACTGCTATACATTGCCTTACTCTAAATGACCATACAGCCGGTCACCCTCCCCCTGTTGTACTATATACTACATGAATTACCGCCATCAGAATAAACACATTAAATCAGATGCTATCTATTTGCTTTTCTTGGCGACACTGTGGGGGTACGGGGAAACACTAGTACATTCAAGGACGTGATAGCAGCAGCGTAAATTTAAATGCATGCGCACCTTGGTCGTACGCCATCTGGTTAAAGTAACTGCGAATGGAGTCGGTCGAAACAAGAAGATCTGTCGAACTCTTGGCAGTTTTATTGGCACCCTTCCCCGCTGACATCGGCACTAGATACAGATCCTTGAACATGAAATAGCCGGAGACCACCACGTCCTTGAAGTTTCGACTCACGTAGATTATCTGCCGTATGGAATGATTATTCGGTTAGAAGTCACATGCGTTGAGATTTGTACGAATATAAGCCTTTGTTTGTGTAACACATACCGCATTCAGTTTCTACATATCAAAGGCACAAATGTGTTGCCGAAAGTCGTTCGCTGATTCCTTGGAACGTGGCTTAGGACACTGTAATGCACACGTATAGCACGTGGATCGACTATTTCGGATAACGCTCCATTAGGAGTGTTCCCAACTTTGATATCATTAATGACATTTATTTGTCATTAAAGTTGGGAACACTCCTAATGGAGTATCACCCACTATTTCGGATAAAACTGAATGACGAATGGTCGAGGGTGTCTTTTCGCTTTCTATATTCTCCATCGGTAAGAACCAGCAATCAATCAATTTATGGTCCTCTTCTTCTCACCTGTCCAACCCCGACCCCGACCCACAGCGGCGTTGCGGGAGACACCCCCCCCCATGGCTACCTTGCACTTCTTCTCTTTAGCCTCCCGTGGGAGCGTTCTCCACGGATAGTGCGTTTTGAATATTCGCGGAGACTCCATCTCGTCCCGTGGCACGTACTTGTTACCGGGGTAACTGCAATGCAAGCTGATGCTGAAGATAGAATCGGCATGTAGATGCACCACTTGACATTAGATGTATGCACTCACCTGCCCACGCAAAGAAAAACACATGCACAGGCGCAATACGCACGCACGCACTCACGCACGCGCTCGCTCGCTCACTCACTCACTCACTCACGCACTCACTACCTTACTCACTCACTCACACACTCTCACTGTCACTGTCACTCTCACTCTCTCACTCATTCACTCACTCACTCACTCACTCACTCACTCACTCACTCACTCACTCACTTACTCACTCACTCACTCACTCACTCACTTACTCACGCATTCAGTCACTTACTCACTTACTCACTCACTCACTCACTCACTCACTCACTCACTCACTCACTCACTCACTCGCTCACTCACTCACTCACTCACTCACTGAATTGCGT